TTCATACCTTGTGCTCTTACTCAGTGTATTTAGTACATGTTTAGAAGGGCTTTTACTTCTAAATATAACTACTGAAAGTGGAGTTTGGAGCAGAATTATGGAGCATCCACACCGTCTCTCTAGTTCTTTTTTAGGATCACTCTAACCCATTTTTATTTTAGACTTTAGCCTTAGAAAAAAAAGTGAAGTTGGAGTCCAATCAAACACAACCTTATCCTTATCAAACTTAATTCGTGTCTTCGGAAAAAGTGAAGCCCAAGGTTAAGCCCAATCAAATAGATCCTTGTTCTTATCAAACATTATTCGTTGATCCATTTGTATCTTACATTACATTACTCTTCTTAAACTTGATTGGATTATAAGGCCTATATAACTTTGATACGCTGCCTCCTCCACACACGAGGCATCTATTAAGCCCACCTCCATTATTGTGGCCACCGCCATCTCCGAACTCCACATGCGACACTCGGTGAGATTAGGCTTCATGTCGTGGAAGGACCTGCCACGTGACCAGTGGTGGAAGCACTTGAGAAAGACGGTGTGACCGTGGAAGCAAAGCTTGACGGCTTTTGGGTACCACACAATGGAGTTGTTTAGGAGGACCATATGAATTCATCGTGTAGATCATCAACCTCGCCCGTGGAGAGAGGGTGGAGAGGAGAGAAGGGAGTGGTAGAGAAGGAAGAATAAAATTAGTCACCAACATGTAGACCCAATGTATATATTTTTTTTTATTTTTTTTCAATGACTAGGCTACCACGTCAAAAAAACCACCCTCAAAAACGATACCCGGTTTTACGGTTGAGGGATGCGATTTGACCGAGGGCAAGAGCACAAGGGAGGTGAAATAGACATACTCCAAGTGTAAGATTGCGCAAGTATGTGAAGGCCATAGCGGGCCTGGATATGGCACAAAAGGTCAAGCCCAATTACTAGCAAAAGTGAGTTTGTACTCTCCTGTTTCCTTCACTTATATTCCAGTTTTCAGTTTTAACGCATGCCACATTTATCCTCATGGCTGTCATCAGTGAACCATGGGTGCATGTACACGCATGGGTTAGCTTGAGTGCTCCACTTCTGATGAAGTGTGAATTTGGTCAGAATCGTCAAAAATGCATGTGTGACTGCAAACCTTCACCTTACGCAGTATTGTTAGCGAATTCCACAGGCACTGTACGTACTTTTCCTGCTACTGCTGAGTGCTGATCAGCTAACAGTTGTATCCAATGTAACTTCCATTTTTACGCTTGCATAGTTACTGTGAAATACTAGCATGAATGTATGTCAGGTTGCCAGATCAGCGGATAACAGAGTACGGGAAGGCATGGCAGGAGAGACTGCAGTGTACAGTAAGCAGTACTCCGTACTGGTCTCCGGCGAGTGAGGCAGGAGTAGGCAAGGTTTACTACCAAAATGAATACCTTCACCCAACTCCTCTGAATTCTGCTCATCATTTCCCCCAATTAATATTGCTACCAACTAACATACAGACAGACAGCAGAAACAAGAAAGCCGAATTCCATCCTCCAATCATCCCCGTCTGCAAATAGGATTAAGCTTGATCAGGCAATGTACCCTTCCAGCATTCAGGCCAGCAGTGAGAAGATAAAAGAAGAGTGAGAAGAGCAGCGGGCTACAGATTTGTAGCCAGCTGCAGTACGGACTCCAAGATACATGTGTGTATGATTGGTGGGACCACAGAATTTAATAGTGTAGTATATATTTATAGGTAATTATTGTATGAATAGTCTACTAAGTTGACTATATATGATTTGGAGCCAGCAGCTGGCTATACTATAAACTTCTGAGGACCAATGTCATTAAAAATCAGACCACGAGCATTGTTGACTGAAAACTGTAAAAAATGAGGCGAGTTTCAGTCTGCAGTTGGTGCTGTCCCTGCAACTGATTGTAGAGCTCATTTGTTAAGCCCGTCCGTCAAATAGACAGCTTCAGATCAAAGTATGCAGACCAATTTCTGAGGCATTTGGTCTTGTCATCGCGGAGTGGTAGCAACAAACAGGTCGTCCGGCGGGGCCATCGTTCACTTCAGTCAGAAATGCTGAAATGATTTTATCTGACGCTGTAGCTTGGGAGACGATCTTTACCATGGCTAGCATATTAACAGCGATCCGAAAAATCAGGATCACAATCATCATTAATAGCGATCCAAACCCTCGAGAGAGACCTCGCCGCCGCTGTGGTGGTCGTCGTCCATGGCTGTCGCGAGCCCACACTGTGCCACTGCCGCCCATCGCATCCGGATGCGATGGCGAATTGGCGATGGCTCAACAGGCGACGCCCGATGGCCATGAGATGCGATGTGTGCGTGTCAGCTTCTTGCTCTTGTGTATGTGAACCCAGCCCAGGAAGGGATCGTCAGCTCAGCAATGGCGAAACTGTAAAGTCTGCAGTAGCTGTTCTTGTTTCTTTTTTTATTTTTCCAATTTTCTCTTCTCTTTCCAGCTTCTGCTTGTTGATCGAGTCATCAACTGAACCCAAGACAGAGCAGACTGTTGTAAGCATGGCATTGGCACTGGCACGAGAGAGACGTGCGCTGCAGTGCTTGTGCAACACTGGGCATTGCAGGCAGAGAGCACAGCACAGTAGTAACTCCCTACTGTACACTGCAAATTACCAGGGCCAATTTACAAACCAAAATGAATGCATTCACCCACTCCTGAGTCCTGCTCATCCTCTCCTTTCCGCCATTAATAATGCTACCAACAAACAAACAATCAATCAGACAACATAAAGAAGAAGAAGAAAGCCCACACAGTTCCATTCCACAATTTTTTCACCATCTGATATTATGGTATCATATGACAGACACTTCATCAAGGCAAAGCAGTCCTCCCAACACCCCAGGTCCACAATGTGATAAGCCAGGAGCAACTGTGTTGTAGGTATGTTTGCTTGGCTGTTTGCTCTCTCTCTCTCTCTCTTTCTCAGTCTCACACACATCACATTCACACAGTGTGCAATTTGATTTGGTTTGTTGCTCCATGATTGGGGAATATTCAGGACCATGGCACTGCATGTTCCTTTGCCCCACTCATACAATCATCATCCCCCATTTAATTCATTCATTCTAAGTAACTCTATCAGCAACCAGTTTCAGAAGAAATGCTCAACTAATAATCACTGTACTCTCTTCTGGCAAGAGTCCTTGCAAATTACCCTTTATAACTAAAAGCATCAGGGAGTAGAGGGAAGTTAACCATCACATCAGGTGGTGAAGAACATCAAACGCAAAGAGAGTGCCCTTCTCTTTCCTGCGATGGATTGAAGATGTTCAACAACCACTTCCTGACTATCATCATCATTCCCCAAACTATAGCTAGCAACCCCCTTTTCTGCAACTCCAAGGCTGCATTGCACTGCACTGCACAAGCCAAAGGGGGTTAGAGAGGTCAGTGTCTTTCCAAGCTGACCTCGTGCCAGTAGCTCCCCACACTAGCACAAGAGAACAAGAGACAACAGGCCCCTCTGCTGATAGAAAAGGACTAGTCCTTCTCCTTGGGGGCAATGGCAATGCTGGGCCCTGGGGACAAGAAAAGATTGGGCCCTTTGCTTGCTTGCTTGGACCCTTGAAGCCTTGCAGGAGAGAGAACATGAGAAAGAGGGAAGCTTTTGTAGTAGTAGCAGTAGAAGAAAGAAGCCAATGCCATGCATCACCCCATCATGGCAAGCAGGCAAAGGTGGTCTAAAGGCATTGTTGGGAAACAAATTTATAGCCTGCCTTCTCTCCCCACTCTGCCTGCCCCCAATCCCAATCCCTCTCTCACTCCACAACACCATAATGAGTGTAAAGTAGAAGCAAGTGATTCATTTGAGGGTAATTGCATCATCAGGTGGATCTATGTTCCAACCCTTGAATGAAAGTGATGTTCAAGATTGCCACATTGGCACATAACCAACTTTGGAAATGTGACTAGGAAGCTAAATCAGTTACTACTACTTCTAATAGTGAAATATGGCATTGGTTGGTTGGAAATGCAGGTGTGCCCAGTGCCAAAAACTGCCAATCTTTAGCAAAGTAAACAAAGTATCAATGTGTAGTAATCTGGCAGTGAATAAACAGCAATCATTCAGACATACTACTATTTTGCATAAAGCGGGTAGGCCAATAAGACGCAAACAAATGGTAGACAACACCAGCATTAGAAGGAAAAAAAAAACATGCGAAACTACTTAGGAATGTTACTAACTCAAGGCAAATCCCAACCAAAACATTCGTGATGATATTGTAATGAAGAAAATATGCAAGACAACGACATCCAGGTAAACAATGCCCAAGAAGCCTGTTTGGCTTAGGTTAGCCGGGAACAAAAAATAAATAGCAAAACTAGTGGAGTGGGATTTCTTGATGGGGATAGTCAAATAAGAAAATCACCAGAATCTCAATCGTGGAACGTAACCTTTGTGATAAAGAAACATGGAACCAAGCTGATCATACAAAATGGCTATACTGGCCGAAGTGTCCAGGAAGCAAGACTTTTAACAAGCTAATAACCATCACGGACGGAAAGGTGAAAATGATGTTAAAAAGTAAAACCATGTATATCCAGTAGATGCCGGATACAGGAATAAGTGAATTACATAATAAGATTATTGTAATGCAAAAATGTTAGAAAAGTGATACACCAATGTCTAAATGAGCAGTGTAGGTCAGTGGTTTCAAATATTTCAGAAGAAAAGAATTAGCAGGATTTAGATGGCATGAATTAAAACCACTAACATCCTGACTTTCTAGTACACAACTCATGTGCTACCCATCATTAGTTCATTGCTGATAATTTGGCATTCAGATCAACCCTAAGTCATTTTCTGGAGAAAATTAGGAACATTAACTTAAATGTACATGTAAATTCTCATAGTAGATGGACACTAACAATATTATTTGGTGATCATTGACAATGCTACACTATCAACAATCTAATTGAGCTCACTAACCACCAGATATTTCATTTTGTGATCAATGATCATACGATAAGAACTGCATCTCTAATGTCAGTAAGGATCCTTTTGCGTGTTCCCCCAAAACAATGTCAGCAAGGATTAAGCACTACAAAATTGCAAAATAAACTAAACTGGACAGAATGGTTAACTGGAGCATGAACAGAATAAAAGCTAAAGCTAAGCTGCACATCAGTAACTACCACCGTGTGGAGATCTGGCAATTAGTGATCAGAATTTTTTTTATTTTTCTTTTCTCAGAATTGACCAAATTGAGCAGCTAAAAGAAGCAAAAGGACTAGGTAATTGCACCTAAGTAAGATCAAGTGATACTTCAGCTCTATAAATTCCCCCTCAGTACTAACGTCCCGAAGCCTGAATTGGGCGCCAAGCAGAGGCAGTGAGAAGGCACAGATCCTTCCATCCAAGCTTCAGGGCGCCATTCTCCTCAATGAGCGTGTACCCATCGGAAGGGAACATCCCAAGCAGCAGCACGGCCTGAGCAGCGGCACTTCCAGCAAGCGACGACACACGGAAGCCCGACTGCGCAAGCTTCTCGCGCCAGCTCCCAAACTTAACATCGCCGGTGCGTGCTGGACCGCCCACGGCTAGCACATTGCGGATCTCCCGTGACAAGAGTTGTTGCTCCACGACATGCCGCTCCGGGCTATCCTCGCTGTAACTCGCATCAAGCGAGTCGAACAGTGCCGAATAGTAGTGGATGGCCTCCACAAAACGTGCCAGGAAGGAGCCTGAGTGGCTCAGATCCTGCTCCACCATTGTTACAACCTTTGGCGCCAACCTGATTTGTGCGGTCCACAGAGTCAAGATCAGTACACAAATTTATTATGATTCTGTTCGACAAGAATGACTCAACCAGCAACATTTAGAACTATAAATGATAACAATAAGTTCTCAAGGACACCTAAATTGGTTGCCTTGCCTTCATGGTTTTTGCAAGTACAGTGGGACATATCTATTGCAGTCCACTACTATATGTGAATCTAGTATGAACTGTGCATAGATTGCAGCCATTTCAATTTAATAATCAACATTGGTGGCACTTAGAACTAGAAAGCTGAGACCTTTTGGCATGAAAAGTTGGTCATGATGATAAGAACTTTTAGCTCGTTCATAGTGATCCGCAAACCAAATGGAGGAGAAATCTTTCCCACTTCTCGGATCACCAAAGACCATGGAGAAGCTTGATACCACAGAACCACTAGAAAGTTGCAACCTTTTTAAGCCTAAAAAGTTAGCCATAATGACATACTTTTAGGGCTCCAAAACGCAAATTTTTTTTACTCTTCCTTAATCATCCTATGGACTATGGTGATCTAGGGCTAGTACTACAAACCACTGATGTGATGATGCATAGATAGATATACTAGTAGGTCACAATGTCAATGGGAAATATAGGGTGTAAAGTGGCCATGATTCCGGGGGGTCCCGAGTTGACAAGGGAAGAAAGAAGAAAAGTGTAGTACCTCTGGATGAGCCAGAGCGTGTTGGAGTCGGAGCCGGTGACATCGTAGAGGGAGTGGCGCAGCCAGTGGACGGCGACGGCCTCGCGGCGCGTGACGCCTAGCTTCTCCGGGTCAAGATTCCCGGCCTTGTCAGCCACCGGGCAGAACTCGAATGGCAATCCCAGCGTGTCCGCGAAGTCCGATAGCCTCTTCCCCGTCGCCTCCAGCGCCTCCATGGACGCCCCCAGCCCGGTCAGCCTCACCCTCGGCGGCCCCCCCGGCCTCGACGCCAGGATGTGGAACAGCCCCGGCCATTGGAGCCCCTGCATGATGTCCAGGTCGATGATGTGCACCCTCTCCTCCCTCTCGAACGCCTCCTGGATCGCCTGGTTCGCCGTGAAGTGCGAGAACTTCACGAACGGGCTGATGCCGTTGAACACCTGGAACGCCGCGGCGACGCGCCCGTGGAGACGCGCCGCCGCCGGGGACGGGTTGGGGAGCGGCGCGTACAGCCCCAGGCACGAGCTCACCAGCCGCGCCGACATGGCCTCCGCGAAGTAGGCGGCGACGCGCTGCGTGGATGTGCCGAACGGCGTGGCAAGCTCCGCGATCTCCAGCAGCGCGCGGTGCGCCTCGTCGAGGTTGTCCGCGTTCACCGACTCCGCGCACTGGAGCAGCAGCGTCAGCAGGTGGAGGCCCTCCTCGTCGCGCTGCTTCCGCCGCTGCTCCTCCTTCCGCTCCTTGGCGGCCGCGGCAGCGGCGGCGGTTTCCTCCGCGGTGGGGGGCTTCGGCGACTGCGGCTGGTTGGGCTCCTGCTCCTGACACTGAGGCTCGCGGCGCCGCTTGTCGGGCTGCGGCGGCGGAGGGGGAGGAAGCGCGGCGACCGACGTGGGGGGTGGCGGTGGCGCCGTGGCGTCGGGAGGGAGGAGAGCAGGATGCGACGGCGGCGGCGGCGGCGGCGGCGCAGGGTCGGAGGTGAGGAGAGAGCGGAGGCGGAGCTCGAGGATGGACGCGAGGTCGGGGTTACAAGGTCGGATGATCTCACGCACGTTGTGGATGAGCTGCGCGACGGAGACCGCGGCGCCGCTGCTGGCGATGATGTCACGGATGATACCATCCACCCAAGCCGTACTAGGCGGCCCACCCTCACCCGCCGCCACCTGCTGCTGCGGCGGCGGCGGCGCGGGCGCGGCGAGGTCCATGTCCGTGTGGTGGAACGCCGGGAGCTGCGTGGGCAGCGCGGGGAGCTGCGCGCTGGCAGACGACGGCGCCGCGGCGGCCGTGACATCGGACAGGTCGCCGGTGACATGGCGGCGCGGCGGTGGCAGGTCCATGTCGGAGGCGGGGCGCTTGCGGACCATGGCGGCGGCGAGGTGGTGTTGTTCTTGGTGGTCTAGGTAGAGGAGGAGATGGTGGTCGGAGGGGAGAGGAGGCAGCAAGGAGGTGATGGCATGAGAGGAGGAGGAGGGAGAATAAGAGGAGTGGGTGGCGGAGGAGGAAGAGGAGGGGAAGAGGAGGAGGGAGGAGGAGCCCATCTACAAACGCCAAGGGGAAGCGGCCGCGAGCATGGCGAGCGGACGGGCGCGCGCGGGAGGCCTAACGCTTGTGTTGGGTGGAATTTTTATGGGATTTGGCGCGGCGCAAGCGAGGCGATGGCGCGAAGGGGGAAGCGGAGTAAAGAGGAAGAGGCCGAGAGGAGGAGACCAAGAGGGAGAGGTTAGCAGGAGCATATCACGAGATTGTGTGAGGGGTAATTTATGGGGGAAGAGAGGCAACGGCAAGCAGTCTACTGGACTAGTACCAGCGTGTCATTTGCCCTTGGGCTCCGTGTATCCTTTCTTTTTCGTTTTCTTTTTCACCTTTCCCATGGTTGATTACTCGGACCGATGTTTGTCCCTGTTGTAATGTTCACACTTAACATGTAATAATGGCTTCGTCAATATCATGTGTACTGTGTACAAGTTTCACACTACAGGTAAAAACTGAAAACTTTGTAAAACTAACCTCCAAAAATCAATTGTAGGAGTAGCTCTTTGAATCAAATAATTTATATAGAAAATTTATAGGATTTAATTTCTATAGAAAATTTTTCTAATTGGCCATTAGATTTAAAAGATTAAAGTTTTTCCAAATCCTATGGAATGACTCATTGTACGTGGATTTTGGAGGAAACTTGAAGCATCTCCAACAGCTTCTCCATCTGACTCTCTAAGTTAAATTTTGGTAACTTCAGCAGAAAATAGCACTCCAACAGACTCTCTACTCAGATGGCCAAGTTAAATTACTGGCCAAACTCCTCTCCCAACTGGCCAAATTTAGAGCATCTCCAACAGCATCTCTAAATTTGACTCTCCAAATACCCATATAGCTAACTCTCCATTTGATTTGGGTAATCAAACTAGGTGTTGACTCCAACATCCTCTCCATTTACATCTCCAAAATAACAAAGGGATCCACATGTCAGCCTCTATTGCTTTCTTCTTGTTCTTCTTTCTCTTCCTCAATCTCTTCTCCCTCCTCATTGAGGCATCCCCATGCGAGGCGGATGGCGACGGCGGCGGCGGCTCCCCGCGCGCGAGGCGGACAGCGATGGCGGCGGCGGATCCCCGCACGCGCGAGGCGGACGGCTGAGGCGACGGCGGCGGCGGCTCCTCGCGCGCGCGAGGTGGACGGCGACAGCGGCGGCGGATCCCCGCGCGCGCGAGGCGGATGGCTGAGGCGACGGCGGCGGCGGCTCCTCCCGTGTGCGAGGCGGGCGGCGGCGGCGGCTCCCGCATGCGAGGCGCACGGCGGCGGGGGCGGCAGCTCATCCCGCGCGCGAGTCGGACGACGGCGGCGGCGGCAGCTCCTCGCGCGCGCGAGGCGGACGGTGGCGGCGGCGGCAACTCCCGCGCGCGAGTCGGATGGCGACGACGGCGGCGGCTCCTCGCGCACGCGAGGCAGACAGCGCCGGCGGCGGTGGATCCCCCGCGCGCGAGGCGGACAACGGCGAAGGAGACAAAGACAGTGGCGTCGAGTGGCGACCTCGGCAGCGTCGACGACGACGAGGCGGCCTCGGCAGCAGAGGGCAACCGGCGGCGGTTTCAACAGTAGATAATGGGGCACCGGCAATGGACGATGACGCGGCGGCCTCTGCAGCAAACGAAGGTGGGCCCGATAGGGGACGGCAACGGCGGAGAGGGCGGCGCCGGCGGAGAGGTGCCGGCGCGCTGGGGAGTGGAGAAGCGGAGGAGGAACGCGGCGGAGAGAGACTGCGGGATGGGATGGGAGGGGGAAAAGGCGTGGGACCCACGTTTGGCTAGGCCATTTTGGCTGGCCAAATTTGGCCAGCGGGAGTAGTACTTTGGCCAGCCGGATGGCTTGGCCATCCGGTTAGCCAGTCTATTGGAGCACGATTTTGATCCAAAATTGCTAAAATTTGGCTTAGAGAGTGGAGTAAGGGGGCTGTTGGAGATGCTCTTAGCCATCCAAACAGACTAGCCAAATGTGGGCCTCACCATCTCTCTCATATCTCACGCCATCCTCCCTCTCTCTCCGTACCCGTGTGGCCGTGCCCGCCATCACGCCTTCGTCGTCCCCAGGCCGCGCCCCGTCGCCGTCGTCGTCGCCCCTAGGCTGCCGCCGCCCTCTGTGCTGCCTCTGCCACGCGCCGCCCCACCGCCGCTACGGGAGGCTTAGATAGCGCCTACCTCTCCGCTCGTCGCGGCTGTCGCCCTGCCTCCGCCCGCCCTACCGCGGCCTTTGCTGGTCACAGCCGCCGGCCTTTGCTCGCCTTCGCCAGCCCCGCCGCTCATCGCAGCCGTCGCCCCGCCTCAGCCCGCCCCGCCGCTCGCTGATCCGCCGCCCGTCGCCCCACTTCCGCCCGTCGCCCCGTCTCCACCGATCGGCACGCAAGTCGTCGTCGCCGTCGCCGCACCGAGGTAGTAGGCGCCGTCGCCGCACCGAGGTAGGTGCGCCAGTGGGGAAGGGGAAGTAGTACTGGAGGGAGAAGGGAGATGTAGTATGGCCATGGGTGGGATAAAAAAACAGGATGGAAGAAGGTTTGTTGAGGTTGACATATGGGTCCCATTTGTCATTGACTTGTAATGGAGATAATAGATGGAGATGTTGTTGGAGTAAACAAGAGTTTGACTTGCTAAATTAGATGGAGAGTTGGCCAAATAGACATTTGGAGAGTCAGAGTTGGAGAGGCTGTTGGAGATGCTCTTACAGCAAGAGCTCAAACTTCTTGAGAAATTTCCTTTTGAGTCTATCTCTCATCTGATTCCTATATTTTTCCTACGGTGCGTTTTTCTTATGGTCCAATCAAACGATCATTCATATGTTTTACAATTCTTTGTTTTACATTTGCATTACTGTCAAAATCCTATATTTTTTTATTCCTCCGTTTTTTAGCCATACGATTCAAAAGGCCTAAACATTTGGCATTCTTCTCCTCAAACATTTAGGGGACTGCTAGGAACATAGAATTAAAATATCATGACACCTTAAATCCAGATAAATAAAAAAAACATAGAAAACTATGGAACAGTTTGGACGAAGCACAGGAAAACACACATGATTTAAAATAGAGAGGTGCCTCCCATAAAAAAACATGCAATCCATATGAACTTCAAAGGAACCCAGAGACCCAATCATTCGTACCAAGGAGCCTCATAAGAATTTTTCTAATGAGATTTAAATACTTTGAAATTTCACTTTTTTCATGTGTTCAAAAGGAGCTCTGAAAGAAAAAAATAGAAAAAAAATAAGAAATGGATTGATTCTAGTGAATTTTCAGTAAACTCCTCGGTCCAAAGGAGTTTTAAAAAATGTTCATGTTTCCCCTTAAAAACCCCCTTTCACACCTCGTCCATTTCATTTAAAATTGACCAGTTGAACTGATCAACAAACCAGATGAACTACATCAGCTTCTTGATTTTATTTATTTATTTATGTAGTACTCTCTTACTTTTACATTTAAAATGTAATATGTTATAGTCTTATCCTAAGTCAAAATTCTATAAGTTTAATCATGTTTTGAAAAAATATAGCAATATTTTTTTATACCAAGTAAATATATTATAAAAATATATTCAATAGTGGATTTAATTAACTATTTGGTGTTGTAGGTGTTACTGCTAAATTCTATAAATTTAATTTTTAAACTTTTAACTTATAACAAAACCAAAACATCCCACATTCTAAAGCGGGGATTTCCGTGTGATTCACCCGTCACTAAACGCCAAATATTACCCCTTGACCGTTGATGGAGTAGTTGAGCTTGATGACCCTAGCAGCTTACCAGTATTTTCTTTTTATCTTTGGACTACTTAAAAACTCTACTTCCTTCGTCTCAAAATATAGCTACCTAGTACTGAATGTAACATCATCACCTAGTACTATGAATTTGGACGTGATGTCACATACCGTACTAGATAGCTATATTTTTGGACGGAGTTAGTACTACACTAGTAGTGCCTAGAATTAAGCTCTATGACTATGAGTGACATGAGCACAAGCATATGTACTCTATAGCATATTTTCTTTGTCCCAAAATAAGTTTCTCAATGCAACTATTTTTCATTTTATCTACTCTCATTGTATTTTTTTTATTTTCTAAAAATAAACTTATTTTGAAATAAATAAAATAGGTTAATAATAATAATCTAATTTTAATTTAAGACGGAGGGAGTTGATAATACAGATACGGGAGAAGCTTGTCATGCGAATGCATCGGAATTAAGTGAGGATTGGTTCTTTCACATTTCAAAATTCTCACCAGAGCTTCGAGGCAAAAAAAAGACTTCAAATATTAAAATACGGAAAATGAAGAAGAATATTACTACCGCTGAAAAGGGTATGGCCACTGGCCATTATTGTGATGCTACATCGATCTATCGTGTAGAAACTACTCCTACTCCAGTAGAAAGTGGCTAGCTAGGTAGCGACTCCTTTGGTTGCGCCTGGCTGTTGACCGGCACGATCGACTAGCTTGCAGAAAACAAAGTTTGTGTATGCATATTTGGCACACGCCGCGACATTTGTTCTTGGCCCGATAAAAGGGGAAACGTTCTTGTCAACGAGTCTTTTGATCGATCCATCCATGGATCATTCGATATGTACAGTACGTTCTTGGGGTCGGCAGGCCCGAAAGATGGCCATCTCCATCAGACCAGGTTAGAGAGTTCATCTTTTCACTAAAACCAAGAGAAAAGGCTATCTAGCTCATGTTCATGTAGTAGAGCTACTACTTTGGTACTCCCACTGTCCAACCGATACAAACATTTCTGGCATATAAAATTTATCCAAATCCTGTTATGATATATATCTTACATTTACATTTTTTTTGTCGCTAGCACGATCTTTTTGGGTCAAATAAACTTTCAAGGATACCAAAGTAGTTTCACCTTGAACTTAATCTCCGCTACAAGCTCAGAGAAATGCTTATATATTTGTGAACAAAGAGAGTAATCAAATCAAATTATTGTAGTGGTTATTAGTCGGTTTCTTTGGTTTCTTTGTTTAGGTTAATTTCTTTAGCATTTCAAAACATTTTTTTTAAAATATGACAGTTGAATTAACAAGTGGCAAAAAAAACCAAACCGAACTACCTTGCGAATGAAGGACCGACCTAACCGCACACAAGAACAAAAATGAAGGAGGTGAGGAGAACGCCGACAAAGCGAGATAAGGACAGTGCCTACGAATGGAGGCCATAGCAAATGTCACTTGCGGAGGATGCGATGGACGACGCCAGGGTAGAGACCGGCATAGCTGGTGATGCAGGTTGCTATGGACAAAACCCATGATGAAGGACGACACGGAGGGAGTTAGCTGTGAAGGGATGGGGAACAAGACATGCTATGAAGGTCACAGTGGCCAGAGAGGAGAGCAAGACTAAAGACGTAGTGGCAGAAGATGAATTCGATGGATTGCTGAGGCCGGTAGGTGCAAGGTACCTATGCCGCGC